GGAGAAAAAGAAAATGACTATAACAAAGGACACAGTGATGGAGTGGAAGTACAGATAGCCACATGGAACATGGGAGGAACTTACACTCAGGAGACTATAAAATAGTAATCAAAATATCCCAAAATGTCTCGTAAATTGGTATAAAGGCATTCATAGATGAACTGCAGGATGTTAAAATGCAACAAGTTCTTCAATTACAGCATCAACAAACGCTAAACGGAGTACTAATCTCGGTTCACGAGTATCATAGAACATTAGCAAAATAATTGCAGAACCCGATTACAGACAAGGAAAGAAGAATCAAAGAATGAGCTCAAAAGGTCGTCTATATCGACATCCAGAGACAGAGTCCCTCTAAAAATAATAGTAGATATAGGTCTCTAACAAATCTGTGACTCTAAATCATCATAATCACATTTCAAGCGATTGATAGCTATTAGTAAAAATGAAATAGAAAAGTTAAGGGAACAGGTGTCAATTTTGTAATAGAAGTATAAGGTAACTAGAATTAATGCAAATCTACATATGTAGTCCGATCTGGCATGCAAATGAGACATTGGTGAAAAAGAAGAATGTGTTAAATGAACAGTTACAAGAATTCCAAGATGCTTTGCATGAATAGATTCAAAACCAGTGGCAGCTTTTAGAAAAAAAAAGTGTTACCAAAAAAGTAAGTACAAAGTTAAACAGGAAGAAGATAATGATCACATTTTCCTACAAAACTTTAAAAAGAGTCAAGAGAAAAATAATGACTTTAAAGTCATACGAGAATGGCTTAAAAATGGAGTAAGATCTATTTCCCTGTATCTGAGTATCTGTATCTTTTCAATGGTCTATTATATCGGAAGTCGGAATGTCCCAATAGAATACATATAGTCCAACAATTGGTACTGCCAAAATCACATATTAAAAGTGTGCTGGAAGAACTTCATAACAGCTTTTCTGCAGGACATTTTGGTGTCAAAAGAATACTTGCCAGAGTTCGAAACAGATTTTATTGCATCAATAATTGTAGCTGAGATGTAAAAGATTGGTGTAAGAAATGCGATTTATGTACACAATATCTTTCTGGAGAGTCTTTTGAACGACTTTCAGTGGATATTCCGGGTCCACTTCAGATGACACTGAGAAGAAACAAGTACTTAATGGTCACAATGGATTATTTTTCAAAATGACCTGAAATTGCACCCCTTCCTAATCAAAAAGCGACTGCAGTAGCAAAAGTGGGTGTAGGTTATCTAGTTATTTGAATCAGTTTGTAGATAAAGAAAATATTTTGTTAGAAAAGCAATATTAGAAGTGTCAGTTTAACATAAAATGTATTCTTTATTATGTTATTATGTATTCTTCCTGAATTTCTATGTTCCATACTTTAGCTTTTTTATTATTCTTGTTTTAATCAACCCACACACTTCTAAGGCTCAATTGAGTTATATGGTATATCAACAAAAATGCTCCATTCCTCATCCAATGTCATTTCTTGTCCTGTTTTCTAAATAGGTCACTTGTTTTCTATTATATCAACAGACATTACAATTTGTATTTTGTTTCTTATGAAAGAAATACAAAAACAAAAACTTTTTTTGAGCAGTGTAAAAAAGTATTCCTAAACTAGTTTTTAAATATTTTAAACAAAAAATCCATTGTGTGACACAGCCTCACTACCATTACAATCTCAAAAATGATATTTGCTATTAAAATAAATGAACCATTCAGTAACATCAAGGTCGAATTTGTTTTTGTTTGTTGGTGGATTTATCTCACTTATACATCTCTCTCAACCTCAACACACAAACAAAAGTTGATATAGATCATTAATAATCATTTGCATAGAACTTGAAGGTCAAACGATAGACAATTTGAATGTTAGTTTTGTTATATGTACTATATAAAACAGTATTCAAGTTAAATTTATTCTTCACATCATCTACAAAAAATAAATTTATAGACATTTTTTTTTTGGAACTTATTTTGTAAAATAATAATTATTGATTTATTTTCAGTTAAGTATGAAAAACATTTTTGTGTGTTTCTATGGAGATAAGCAGTGATATAGTACTTGCCTACTTAGAAAGTATTAATTTTCATAATTAGTCAAAATGTGCAGGTGCTTCACATTAATAGGGGTCTGATAACTATGCACTGATATTGTTTTGGCTCCTGACTCTAATAACCAACTTCAAACATTGTGTTTTGGGTAGAAATACAATACATACAGAACATGAATTAAACTCTTAACTCTTAAAATACACTGCATGAGAAATGAAAGAGAAATAATATACAATATAACTATTTATATATAAAAATCAAAGACAGTGTCATGTCAAAAGGGCCTTCAATTTGTATTTTCTATATTAACTGTCTGTATTTTCATTAAACATGGTGCATCAAGTGAATGGGAGAGCATATGTGATGCAATGTTGCATAAAAAACAATACAAGTGAAAGAAATACATGAATCGTATCTGTAATTTGGATTGGTAAATTGATAAGGTTAGTTCAGCAAATAGAATGGAGACCAATATTTTTATGCCAATGATTGACATTAAATATCGTATTTTCCATTTTTAGCTCTCTCAGCCTTGAATTAAAAAAAATTATAATAATGGAACTACTGGGAGCTGCTTCATTTCAAACTATAAGTAAATGGTTTGAATGTTCACACATGAGAGAGAAGCTGTCCTCTGACAACCCTCTTTATACACTTAACATTAGTTCTTCTCAAAGTGTAAGCTGCGAATATTTGGGTGATCTCTCTCTCTCTCTCCATCAAGGTAGTTTCTTGATATTCTGTGTATTTCTTTGTCTAGGAAAGTTATAGTTGAGTTATTGCTTACAAACCAGGGAGCATTGAACCTCATTCTTAATATTTTTAATTGAAATCTTTAGGTATATTATCTCAATGTTTGATAGTATTTATGGTCAGTTTTAATTTTCTATCTATCAGCCAGCTCATGTGTCTCATCATCATCACACAGCCAAATTTGTCCACTTCGAACATAGGCCTCCTCAAGATGTCTCCACTCTTCTCTGTCCTGTGCAGCTGTGATCCAGTTTGTCACTATTCTTTTAATGTCGTCCGTCCATCTGGTAGGTGGTCTTCCACGACTTCGCTTGTCTGCCCTTGGCCGCCATTCTAAAATCTTCTTTGTCCATCTGTTGTCTCTCTTTCTTGCGACGTGTCCTGACCATTTCCACTTCAACTTCGTAATCCGTTTTATGACGTCTTCCACTCCAGTTCTTCTCCATATCTCATCATTTCGTATTCGGTCTCTCAAAGTTACGCCAAGCATAGATCTTTCCATTTTTCGTTGTGCTACTTGTAACTTTTTTATTGATGCTTTAGTCAATGTCAGTGTTTCAGCTCCATAAGTGAGCACCGGAAGTACGCACTGGTTAAATGCTTTTCTCTTTAGCTTTATTGGGATGTTTTCCTTAAACACTCATTTGTCTCACTTTCTTGTTAATTTGGGTTTTCTGGGTTTGGAAGTGAAATTTCCTTGTTAATCTAGAGAGGTTATCCTAAATATTTAAATTGAGCGCTGACTTGTATCTGTATGTAGTTTATTGTTGTTATTGGATATCCCTTCGATTTGTGAAAGTGACTGAAGTTGATATGTTTTCATTTACTTTCACTTTCTATCTGTTGAGCCATATTTCTAGCTAGATGGTTTTGTAGATATACGGATGGGGTCCTTGTTGAAAGCTATTAGGTGGTGTCATCAGCAAATTTTTTGATTTTTGTTGTATTTGTAATTGTGACTGCAAAAAACAGGTAAAAGAGAGGACCTGATACACTACCCTGTGGCACCCCTTATTTAATGAGAGAGTATATAGAAGTCTCCGTTATATTTTACATGGCAGAAACAATCTTCAATATAGGATTTTATAACGAAGTAGTCAAAATTGGAAGGATGTTTTTAAGTTTGTATATGAGTCCATTGTCCATATTCTATCAAATGTCTTTTTTGTTCATTTATGTTAATATTCTATGGGTCTGTTGTGTTGTTTGTAGAATGTCTCTCATGAAATCTGAACTGGTGCTTAGGTATTTCTGTGTCTAGGTTTATATCCTACTTTAATTAATATTATATCAAGCAGTAGTCTTTTGAAATATTTTAAACATTTCAGGAAACATGCTAATTGGTTTGATGATTTATCTGGATGTTTGCCCAGTTTCATGAATCATAATTATTTGTACAAATGTCCATGTAATTGGGAAATATGATCGTCTGAGTACAGTATTGTATGTTTTAGTTAACATCACCAATGCTTTCAGTGGTAGATTTTTCAGTACCAATCTCAGAAGCTAATATAATGATATTTTTAGCATGCCAGTAACTTTAACTGTAAAATTAGTTTTATAATATGAAGACATCATCGCCATTGGCTTTTGTGATTTTTACAGATTTTGGAAAATTTTCTTCAAGTTTTTATGAATGATTTAATTGATGTAAAGATTTGTAATAAACTTATTTGCAAAAAAGTACTGACAAATAAACAAAAATGAGCACTATGTTAAGTGGGCATCATGTTAAATGGGCACCATGTTAAATGGTCACAAATAAAGACAAACTTTGATTAGATATATATCCAGTTCAAATTTATCATTATTACTCTTCAAAATTTGGCAAGAATCTTTGTTTTGTAAATTTTTGAACTAATAAATGAAATATTCAGACAGATCTTAAGTTTTTTTTTCAAATTAAAGCACCCAAAATGATCCAATATTAATAAATTCACTGTTTGGAAACTTGAGGGCTCAGTATAAAATAATCACCAAATGACAGCAATTTATTTAACTTGGAAACATTATTTAAAAATCAAATTTCTCTAAGGTGTATTAATATCTAAATATGACTATATGGGTCAATCCTTAAAAATATCCAAATCTACTATTTTTACACATCCAGACTGGACAAATACATTAAACATATAAACTATAGGACATCAGTACTTGTGGGTTTCCCCTATGTATATAAAGTATATTTTTGTACTTACATGTAACTCAATCCCATAGCCATAGCCAATTCCCTTCACTACACCTATGAATTTCACTTTCCCCAGTTGAATATCATTGATATCAGTAAAACCAACTACCATATCAGTACAAACTCTTTGCAGTGCTTCGCAGAGATTCCTATTTTTGGCCAATTTCACTCTTTCTTGTGGAGAACTCACAGAAGCAATAAAAGGCCATAACTTGTCACTAATTCTTACAATGTTGTCTTCAGAACATGAATAGGTTATGGTTTCCCAATTGTCAAACTCTTTTAAGAACCTTATAGCTAGCAATCGTTCTCCTATTCTCCCATCTATAATGATGATTTGGCCAAGAAGGACTGTTCTTGGTTGTAGCCCTTTAGGCAGATCTTTAAGCAAATCATTGCATATAAATATCCCATATTCTTTCTCCCTAGAACTCATGGTGAACCTGAAACAAGCAGAATGTTGTGAACAAATCTAAAAGGAAGAAAACAAAAGTTTTAAGAGCTTATACGTTTATATATTTATTTAGAAACGGCAACCATACAAAAAATATTAAATTAAATGTAAAATAAAACACCTTACATAATTAATAACAATAAAAAAATAGAAATGAATAGGAATAAAGGAATCTATTTATTTTGTGTTGCGTTTCTGTGCTCAGCAATACATTATTATATTTCAAATACGTCTTTTAAAAAGACAATGCACATAAAATTAGGGAATAATAGAAACATAAACAAGCTTATTTTGCTGTATTTGTATACAAAACATGTATTTACTTCAATTGGTTTATCCATGTATTAACTAATTTCTAGGAAAAAAATTGCTTAAATATTGTATCAGGTTTTCATTATTGTATACTTTTTGAATTAAAACAAATTACAGCTCACCTATTCCTGTTATAAGCATCAACAATTAAGGTTTTTCGCTAAAAACACATAATCTAAACCACTGTCAAACTTTGAGTCATTTTAATAAATACTTCAATGTCTTTTCACCACAACAGCTGTACTTTATTTACTTAATTGCGCAGACCGAAACACCTCTGACATGATTAAAAATCAGTTCATTCTCCATAAAAGGTGTAATTTCTTACCACTGACAAATGTGTGACAAATACACAACATAGTAAATAACATGCGTATGAACCTCAAAACGAATGTGACATTTTTTGCTTCTTAAAACTGTATACAGAAGATGGCGCTAACTAATTTACATTTATAGAAAAATCTACGAAATTACATTGTTCAATCAAATCTAAGTTTGAATTCGACAAAGGTTGAGTTTTTTGCGCTAAAGTGAATAATTGAATTTTACCCAAAAAATTAAAATTTATTGAAATAATTAGAAGAAAATCGAATTTCACAAGGAAAAAAAGGAATCTGCAATGTGCACCATTATCAATTATATAAAGTAAAGAAGAACCGATGATAAAAACAGATGACACTACGAGTAGTTCAGAATATATGGAATGTTAGGTTAAAAATGTTTTAATTTTGAAAAATAAAATACTAACAAAATCTAAATGACAAACTTTAAAAATATTTGTTATAATATATCCAATAATATTATAATTCCTCAAAGGAGTATGACAGATATGTTATACAAATAATATTCAACCACAGAACACAACTTTTTTCCAAGAGAGGTTAGACATCTAACTTCAGAGTAGTTTTGTCAAATTCTGACAACTAACCTTTAAACATCCTCGTTTAGGGTAGCCTTGTATTTAAGGGATATGTAGTTATATTTTGGTTCTAAAGGTCGAATAAGAACATTCTTTAAATAGTAAAACGTAAATAGATAATTTATTTTAAATGAATACTATTTAATTAAGTAATTGGAAACTATATTTTAAAAATATTATCTTAAGGATCTAAATATGGGTCTTCGAGAGAGACAGTAAGTTTGAATGTTTGAAAATAAGTTGTGATACCATTACCTTTTGACAATAAAAGTAAATATAATGAAATATCTGTATTTTTAGATTGAAACGACAAAATAGTACTGAAGATATCAATTTATATCAATTTCTTAAAGTCTCAAACTATGAAGATACTGTACGTCAATTGGATATTTACTATGGCATGGGTTTGTAAATCAGAATATTTTTATTGTACTGTTTTTATTGCAATTATTCATTATTTATATACTGTATTGTTTGAACCATATACCATTTTAGTAAAACGCCAATTGCTGAGGTTTCAAAGTCCAATTACAGGACTCTTTCCTGTGTTTTCATCAGATGCAGAAGTAGGAAGTGTTCGAGACAGTATATATTGTGCAGCAGCTGTATGGGGATTGTATCAAGCTTACAGGTAATATTTTTACTAAATTTGTAGCCCTTTTAGGTTTTATTTTCTCTTTTTATTTTTAGACGCATTGATGATGATAGAGGAAAATCATATGAACTTGGACAATCTACAGTGAAATGTATGAGGGGGATTTTGGAGTGCTGGGTGAAGCAGGCGAGAAAAATAGAACTGTTCAAGAAGAACCAATGTAGTGCTCATGCCTTGCATGTAAAATTTCATTTGACCACCGGGAATGAAGTGTTTGGTGATAATGAGTACAACCACCTTCAGATAGATGTTATTTCTCTATATTTGCTCTTTCTAGTGCAGATGATTACATCAGGCTTGCAAATAATATATACACAGGTGACAGAAAATAAATAGCTTGAAACTTTTTTAAGATTTTTTTTTAAGAGATAAACAAATGGAATGGGAATATAATCTTTGTTTTAGGATGAAGTGGCCTTTGTCCAAAACTTGGTTTACTATGTAGAGAGAGCTTACAGAACACCAGATTTTGGTATGTGGGAAAGAGGAAGCAAGTACAATGATGGAACACCAGAGATTCATGCCAGTTCCATTGGTCTTGCCAAATCTGCACTAGAAGCTATAAACGGTTGTAATTTATTTGGTGAAAAGGGAGCTTCTTGGAGTGTTGTTTATGTTGATATTGATGCTCATAATAGAAACAGAAGCATTTTTGAGACATTATTGCCAAGAGAGTCATGCTCAAAAGTAATTATTTTCCTCTAATATTTGTGTTTATGAATTTAATTGTACTGATTTAAGGATGTGGATGCATCTCTTCTTCCAACAATATCTTTTCCAGCCTTCTCAACTCACGAAGAAATGTTGTATCAGGAAACCAAGAAAAATGTTGTTAAAAGTTTAAAAGGGCAATATGGATTTAAAAGATATATTAGAGATGGATTTAGGACTGAAGTTGAAAACCCTAATAACAGGTAAGCATACTAGTTGCATACTCTATTTTAATGAGAAAATCTATACAAAAAACTTTTTGTCAAATTTGTTGTAGGTATTATGAAAAAGGAGAAATAAAGAACTTTGAAAATATAGAATGTGAATGGCCATTATTTTACATCTTCATGATAATAGATGGAGTATTTAAAACTCTTCCTGACCAAATACAAGAGTATCAAGATTTACTGAAAGAAAGAATTATGCTCGACCATCATGGAGGTATTATATACCATGCATACAAAAAAGTTTTGTTGTTATCAATCTATTTTAAATTGTTACAGATCCTGTAATCCCGAAATACTATTATGTATCCAAGGAAAACATTGAATTAGAAAGAGCCTTGCCAAATTCAACTGTTAGAAGAGCTCATACTGATGGTGGCTTATTCCTTTGGAACCAGTCGATGTTCATTCTGTCCCAACTGTTAACTGGTGGCTTGTTACATATCAATGAGTTGGATCCAATCCGAAGGTATTTACCTTCATATAATCGCCCTAAAAAGGGTGGACGTTATTCAGCTTTTCAGGTAAGAGTTTTTTTTTATAATATTTAGGGAGAATATTTTAGAGAATACAGTTAATAGAAAATTCAAGTAAAATGTTTCAAAATTTTTTTAATAAAGAACTCATTTGGCATGTTTAATAATTTATTGGTGTTATAACATTGAAATAATTATATAGTACTTAACATATTTTTTGTCTAAAATTAATATGAGATGCATTTGTTATAATACAAATAACTTATGACAATGACTTAGAAGTAGATTTTAAAATATCAATAAGAATAGAAACAAAATATCAGAATATGAAACAAACGACTATTTTCAAGATTTGAAGATTATGTTTTAGAAAACTCTGGCAAATAATTAAGATGTACTACTAATTTTCGTAGATTTCCAGAAGGCGTTTGACAATGTGGAGCTTGAATCAATACTGAAGGCATTAAGCATTTGTAAAAGGAACCACAGATATTTCCAACTTACTCATAACATATACAAACACAATCTAAGACTCCAGACAGATAGTAAAAAAGTAAATATCAGAAATGAGTCAAACAAGGTGCTACCAAAACTATGCAAAGATATTCTAGAAAATGCTTTTAACACACTTGTGATTGTGATAATGTAAGAATAAACATTAATAGAGAGAGATTGAATGATTTATTCTGTGCTGATGATGTTGTTCAAATTGATTGAAGCTACAACATGCTTCAATAACTTTAAGCACATGGAAAGATTGGAGTTGGAAATGAATTTCAATAAAATCAAAATAATGACAAATTTGGTATATAACGAATGCCTAAGAAGTAGCTTAGTCAGAAATATAGATCTTTTATCTATAAAACATGTCAAGAAGTCTATATTCAACAGTACACATATAGTACTACCATATTTCTAAGAGATTCATTAATATTCAACTCAGAGGGGTGCTATTGTTCAAGGTGAACAAGGGATCATTCCATAAAAGAGGTCACTTTGTTTATGCAATTTCACACCTCAAACAATAGCACCCCTCTGAGCTGAATATTAATGAGTTCCTTAGAGATGTTAATACTATAACATACTGAATGATAGGTCAGTAGGTCATACAAAATAGACCACCTCAGGTGCAGTGTACAAATTGGCAGAATGTGTATTTCAGAGTCAGTAATCATCAAAAAAGAATAGAATAACTATCAGAGAATTAAGGGTACAGGTAAATAGTGTCGACCAAGATAGAAACCATGATATTGTACTCATCTTTTGTCATGTATACCAACTTATTCAGTTTGGTTTCCATCTCAGATTTTTATATACCACAAAGTTTCATCTTCTACACATAACCAACATAAACCTTCTTCTGTCAGCCATATATGGCCCAAATGCATACTGAATCTGCATAATTTGATGAATTATATTGCTTCAATTGATAATAACTTATATGAAACTAAATTTAATAGAGATTTATGCACTAACTGAGGATACAGAGGAAAAGGGAATATGAGAATAAGGTGAATATCTTGGCTCAGTGAAAAACCTAAGAGTGTAGTATGGGTGCACCTCATAACAGCTATAAAGAGCAGTTGCTACAAAGATAGAGTGTTCAAGATGATTGCCAACCACCGCCAGAAGCTTCTGACTTATTGAAACCTGTTAATTGCTACGTTACATAGATATTAACATAACAAGGCACTTGTTTTTGTATAAAAAAGTTTTTGTACATATGCGCTAATATTGTTATTATTTTTTATTCACTAATGCTTGAATTTTTCATATTAATTATAAATATTTTTCCATGCTCTCCCGAACAGGCAAAACAAACATTTGTAAGTAATTTGAACATAACATCGCTTTATAATTTGTTATTGTAATCAAAGCATGTTTCACCATTTGTACCAAACTATTTTTTACGTATCTAAATCATAGAAATATACAAAGACAAACAAATTGGCCAATTATAACTGAAAAAGTTAATTTATATAGTAAAAAAATAGTTTTGGTCCAAGAACAATAATTTATTGTAATTGAAAATAAAGTAATATTAGTATGAAGTCTAATTTGGGTCACAACAATAACTGATAAAAGTAACTTAAAGGCACTTAAAAGCTGACACCACCAACAAGTAGCAAGTGTGGCTATTTTGGGTCCACTCGTTTATTGTTGATTTCCACTACTGTGTTTATGAATTTCTTTGTTTAATGTTTTAATGACTTGAGTGTTATTCGGACTTAGAGTATGTAGTGTATTGAATTTTAAACGACTATTTGGCCTTCCAACAAAGTCCACAGTCAAAAGAAACCAACAGCACACACACACACACACACACACACAACATAAAAATGTTTTGTTAGATCATAAATTGAAATTGCGTGCCATA